ATGTGGATGTGTGTATATATATATATATATATATATATATATATACACACACACACAACACACACACTTCTTTAATTAAAGAAAAATAACTTGATTAATTTTCACAAAAACATTATCACCCCTAACTGACAGGGGTGAACCCAATATGGATGATCCTATCAATGTCTTTAAATGTGATTATGTAGAAAATAGTTCACAAGTCATGTATGATTGCTTTCTTTTTCATTCCACAGAAAGATCCGACTGATCTTTCGTCCTTTAGTGGCCACCAACCTGAAAAATATATATTTGGTTAGAAGTTGTAAGTCATGCATCAGGTTTAACATTATACCGTATTAATGGTCAGATCCTGATTGTGGATTTTTTAATACAGTGACTATAAGCACACCTTAACAGTCCTTATTCACTATAGAAAGAAAACGACAACCTACCAAACCGTGGCAAAGCACCCAGTCCGATGATTGAGCACCGTAGGATAAAAAAAACATCGTCAGACAAGATCAATTTAGAGCAAAAGTTCAGCAAAAACGGCAATATCGTAATCAGTTGTGCTTTGCAAATAAGACAAACCAATCTAATTAAGACAGCATTCTAGGGCGCATTTTATTGGACTGTCTAGTTTCCATAACAATGCCTGCTTTGTAATACACTTTACAAAATAATGAATATTGAGAAGCAATTCAATATTTGCATAGCATTCTAGTCATACACAGAATCATTAATGGCGAGTGTCAATCATATGATCGATCAGTCTTTTATAACATAAAGAAGCAAAAGCGAGAAAATAGAGATATGAGGTATCACGTGAGCAGTGTAGCTCATATAATCGCCAACAGGTGGCGTATTGGTTGTGAATACGATATAAAAACAAGTTCGATTCCCATTTGTTTTTCCACTAGGTTATGAATATTAATTAGGTTTGCCCAGTACCCTCAACTGATTTGCTGAATGGCTGACGCTGACAAGTAGGCGTTGTACTACGGCTGACCCAATCTTACTACGCTGAAGGCTTATCTTATGAATATTAATTAGGCTACACTGCAGAACTCAAGCGAAAGGTCACTTGTCATGACCTTATTAATATTCATGAGCGAAGCCTTCGCCATAGTAAGTTTCGGAAATACCCGAAGGGAATTGTTTCACTCGTGTAACGTTCCTTCCGGACTGAACCAACCGGAAACCGCCTGCTTATAACTTTTGTCTTCGCTGTTGCAAATCGATTAGAAATATCAAACATCATGTCGGGCTCATCAAACATCGTTGCGATGAAGAAAGTCGTTCAGCAGTTGCGCTTCGAAGCAAACATCAACAGAGTAAAGGTCGGTTTGTTTCTTTTAGTGGTTTAATTTCTGAGGAAACTGAAGCTAGCGAGTTAGCCGCCGGGTTGAGCTTGGGCGTGGACCTGTAGCCCGTTAGCTTTGTTTCAGTGGCTTCTCCGTTGTTTTATTCAAATAATTTAATTTTGTAGTGAAGTAGTGCTAATATCTATTGGACAAACAGAGCATTAAACAGACTCTGAAAAAGACATTTGATCTATGCCTAGCTAGGATGGGTAGTTTATCTAGACCCTCCCTTATTTATATATAAGAAATTTAGGCAAGAAATACAAATTACTCTGATATTGCACTCATTTTCATATATATATATACTTTTTTTTATTATTATTATATAATGTGTGTGTATCTTAGTATCATGTATTTAGCATTTCAGCTGATTGTGTATACGACCCACTTAATATTTCCATTTCCAAGAAATTTGTAAGATGTGAATTTTTTTAATTATATTTAGGTTTCTCAGGCGGCTGCAGAGCTTCAGCAGTTCTGCATTCAGAACGCCCTACAAGATCCTCTGCTGACCGGTGTGTCTTCGAGCACCAACCCCTTCAGGACACAGAAGGTTTGCTCCTTCTTGTGAGGGTCCATGAGGGGCATCTGCCATAGGTAAGGAGTAGTTTAATATCGCATTTGGTTAAAAACTAAACAATACAAAACTGAAACTAACAATTAAAATTGGTCTTCTCAGGCTTTTTCCTGTTCCTGTGACATTTCTGCTGGGAAAAAAGAGAGAAGAAAACCACTGCCATGATGTGTAATTGAAAAATCAGCAGCACAAAGCTGTCGTCTTGCCAGTTAATACCTCATGCCATAAACACAAAAACAAGAACTGAAAGGATTTGCCTCTCTGGCTGCTTTATGTCTGTTATGGTGCATTTTCATTTTAGAAGAAGATTTTTTTTTTTAAGGTCTCAGATTGACTCTCCTTCACAGCCCTCAGATTTCTGTATGAAGACCTCAAACTAAAAAGTCTGCCTTAATGAATGATAAACAACGCTCCAGTTTTGTGGAGGGAAGGCTTTTGTATTTTTGTGTGGCACAGCAGAGGAAACTTAGTAATTTATTGTGCCTTTTTAACATTGTAATCTATTTCTCTATCTTCTCTGCCTTAGACTTTTTATAACCCAAAATAAAACCCATTGATTTCTACATGTCTCTGTTGTTTTTTAATACTGTGATAACTGTAAAGAATTGCTGAGGATATATTAAGAACATAATAACCAGAACAGAAGTTACAGTTTTATCACAGTGACATGAAATTCGATTGTGAACAACATTTTCAATAATAGATCACTATATCAGACAAAATGTGTATGTTATTTCTTTAGGCTTTATTAACTATTCATAATTTACATGGATATATGCCATAAAATGGTTATTGTCAGTTTGCTGCAAGCGGTTAGATTATGTGACATGCTTCACTCCACCTAAATCTATTACATTTTAAGTGTATTTTTGTTGTGTTGAACATTTACAAATGCAGGTTTACGTGGAATATTTGTTTTTAAAAATTTTACTTGTAAAAGTTCATTTATTACACTACATGTGAAGCTCAAAAATGTTAAAAATTAAAAACCGTAAAAATCTAAACCGACTTAAAAATGTCAAATTGAAAGTCATAAACCTAAAATATTGACTATGAATTAAAAGTTAGTTCTTTGTCATCAAAAGTTCTTCAATAATATATTCATATTTTAAATAGCCTGTATCTTGCACAGGTGCAGCAACGTCGTTGCTTCTAAATATTTTCATGAAAGCCAATTGGCCTGAAAGAATAGAAATCAGGTGTATGTGGTTTGGTTGTTTAATTAGGCAGTTAATGCTAGAACAAGAAGCTTTTTTCAGTAATCCGTGTTAAAAATGGCGATCTACGGAGTTTTCCATTTACATGGTCGATAAGCTGGTTTTCTATTTATGATATAATTATTTAGCTGGCAAGATGTGGTTGAGTATCACATTAACATGGTTTATTACTGTCTTTGTTATGACGCCCCTATTCACTGAATGTTATCGTCGCATGTCCCGTCGTACATTCCAACGAGGAGGGTCTTCGGCAAACCAGCAGCTGCTGAACAGTCAGTATCAGGCCGCGATTCCACAAAGTCCGCCTAAAATAAACGACCCCGTTCCACAACGACGTCGGAAAACCGTGTCCGTGTACTGCCATGAAGAAGCGATAGAGGTCGTGATGAACACAGACCTGTTTGCGTCGGGGTTTCCAGTGTATGCTGAGGAGCTGTGGCTGGGGTCCGAATCACTGCTGAACAAAGCGTCTGCAGCATCATGTGGAGCTGCGCAAACCGGGAAATCACAGTTAACCATACTGGCTTATTTCAGAGATTGTGGAACCAAACTATCTGTAAATTCACAAACTATCTTTAAGGGTGGGGGTTTAAGATAGTTTGCTGGTCCAAAAATGGCCACTAACCTGAGTTCTGGTGGTCTTTCGAGTTTTTAGAGGATGTTTGCTTCTTGTCACTTAGTCTGACTGGAAGACTAGTTGGCAACCGGCTTGGCAGGCCTCAAATAACAGGGAACTTCAGAGATTGTGGAACCAAACTATCTGTAAGTTCACAAACTGTCTTTACGGGTGGGGGTTTAAGATAGTTTGCTGGTCCAAAATGGCCACTAACCTGAGTTCTGGTGGTCTTTTGAGTTTTTAGAGGATGTTTGCTTCTTGTCACTTAGTCTGACTGGAAGACTAGTTGGCAACCGGCTTGGCAGGCCTCAAATAACAGGGAACCACTGTTCCTACTGGTAAAATATACTTGTAAACTACTGCTAAATAGTTTGTTACAAACACATGTGGTGTTTAATGTCTTCTCACAGGTAACTGCGGATTCTCTGGTATATTCAAATGTCCTTGTGTACTCCCCTCGACCATCTCCTGATGGTGTACTTTACCAGGAAGGTGCAGTCATACCTGTTCAGTGCCAATACCGCAGGTAAGGTGACAAACCTCACATCTCTTGCCAATGAATTTTAGCTTTAAGGGTGGGGGTTTAAGATAGTTTGCTGGTCCAAAAATGGCCACTAACCTGAGTTCTGGTGGTCTTTCGAGTTTTTAGAGGATGTTTGCTTCTTGTCACTTAGTCTGACTGGAAGACTAGTTGGCAACCGGCTTGGCAGGCCTCAAATAACAGGGAACCACTGTTCCTACTGGTAAAATATACTTGTAAACTACTGCTAAATAGTTTGTTACAAACACATGTGGTGTTTAATGTCTTCTCACAGGTAACTGCGGATTCTCTGGTATATTCAAATGTCCTTGTGTACTCCCCTTGACCATCTCCTGATGGTGTACTTTACCAGGAAGGTGCAGTCATACCTGTTCAGTGCCAATACCGCAGGTAAGGTGACAAACCTCACATCTCTTGCCAATGAATTTTAGCTTTAGGTTTTTTTTTTATTTTTTATCCTCTTAAGGTGGTACAGTGTTGACAGTGCGGCAGTGGCACCCACTTGGATCCCATTTGCATCTACTGCTTCAGCCACAGATTTTCTGGATTTTAGCCTCCGATTGATGAGTGGTATGGTATTCAAATTTGCAGAGTTCTGCTTCAGATCTATCGATCTATCATTATTATTATTATTATTATTGTTTTTAAAGATGACTGGCAGAATGAGAGGGGCTCAAACGTCTATTTTCTTGGGGATGCGATACCACTTCAAGCATCGGTTACCTTGGCCAAACACTCCCCCCTCCTCCTGTTTATTGACTGGTGTGTGGCTACACCAACTTTTGGCTTGGATACTAGTGACATCAAATATTCCTTTGTAGATTATCATGGGTGAGTTTTGTCAGTTCGTCAGACTTGAATTGCTTATTGCATCTAATAGATAAAAACTGGTCCTGAAATTACCAATTTGGTGATGAGTGTAACTGGTCCTGTAGTAAAAATTAATGCGTGCATCTAAAGGGATGTATAAAGTGTTATGCAAGAACTGTTTACTTGTCTTGGCACTGAGAAACACTGTACCGGTCTGTTCGTACATTTGAATTCCGCATTTTGAGCTACTGGAAAGGAAGCTCTAATCCTGTAGACTGCTTTCAGATGTCTTTCAGACAGTAGGAGTTTGTACTCTCGCTCCAAGTTCTTGCCGAGGAGCCAAGGCAACAAATTAAACCTGCTACTGGATGCCTTCAGATTCCACAAGCTGACCAGCAACTTGGTGAGCAGAAGTTAAGATTAATTAATGGATAGTTCACCCAAGAATGACGATTTTCATTCAAAGACTGAAATGCACTATGCGACTTGCACAGAATTTTGCCCTGATTTGCAGTGTGGATGAGTTGGCACTAGTTGCTAAAAGTCCGAGCCAATCTGCAGATATTAACCACTCCGATTTGACAAATTTCACAGAAAATCGTATAGTGTATGATGGACACTGACACTCATTTGCTGTATGTGTACATGTATTCCATCCAGTTTGAGGGTATCAAACATATTTGCTATTTCAAGCTGGTTTTAACACCATTTGTCCTGCATCTCCTAGTAATAAGGTGTCCGTTTCTGCCTGAGATTGTGCTTGGAATGACTTGAAAGTCTGGTTTTGTGTGATCCTCATTTGTTTAGTGCATGATGCCCAGATTTTCTCTGTAACCATTTACAAAGTTGGTAAGTGTATGATACCTAGTGTTTTAAAATCTGTTCAGATTTGAAGTTGAGTAGTGTGTTTAAGCCTTAGCCCTCTCAATTCGTTCCAAACCTGTATGCCCTGTTTGTTAATATGGTCAATTGTTGTTTTGGACCCCAATGACTTTCCTCATATGGATCAAAATCTTTAAAATACCATCACTGTGTTGCATAGAAAGGCATACAGGTTTGGAAAAACATGAAGATAAGTGACAATTTTTGGTTGAAGACAATTTGTCTACCTAGTTAATCTAATTCTGCAGTGCTTCCTGGTTTTATTTGAAATAGGTGTTCATCACATGTTACCTGAAGGCCATCCCTACGGTGTATTCTGTGAGCTCTCAGAATCGAGCATGTTCTTTTATTGATGGAAGGTAATGACGGACTTCATTAACTTTGGTGTCAGTCAATGGCTCTTTATGTAAGAACCACTGTGGACCTTGCAGGTGGCAGTCTGTGGATGGAAATGATGAGGTGTGTAACACCTGTGAGCCGTCCAAACAAGCTGCGGCAGAGCCTAAACCAATCCAGCCTTTCCGCATCACACTAGCCCCTCCCGTCAGGCAGCCTTATTTGGCCCGAAAACCGGGACCTGCTAATTTCTTTCGTGCGAGACCCGTTCAGTCATTAGAACCCTTTAAATCTTTCGTGCAATCAAGGCAGTATGCTTATGGTGGTCTGTCAAAGAGAGGAACCGACGCCAAAGGTTTGCACATTTAATGTTTCATTCTTTTGCCTGCATTTATTTATTCAAGTCATGTGGCACTCCAACAACTTTCTCCCTTTATAACAGACTGGGGTAAGATTGCCACCTTGGGTCCTCTGTTTCTGACCCCAAAGCAAGAAACCACCACCCAATCAACTGGGTTCCCACAATCCGGCCCAGCTGAGGTCTTCTCGGCATCCGTTGCTGAGGAGCCAGAGCTCTTATTCAACTCGACCAAGATGAGTCCCGTGACTGATGAGCTGGAGTTTAAAACCGATCAAGAGACCGGAAGCTTCAGTCCATTAGAGCAGGGCCTGTTCCTTAATGCTTCTCTTTTCAGTTTAGATGAGGGGAGTGGGTTTGAACAATGACCTTCCGCTTAAGAAAAATGAGCTCAAGGAAAAATGGAAACTGACAATGTGACTTTTTCTAAAAATAAAATTTTAGAACATGTCTTGTTCCTTGACATTACTTTAAATTCTGTGGTCAGAAATATGTTCATGCATTAATACATAAATTTCAATTGCTGAAGTTTGTATTTGATTCGGAGAAATAAATTGCACATTCAAGTTCTTTATAAACCTCCTGGCATGCACTGTATTAATAAATATACTCATGAATTATAACTCCAGGTAATATTTGGCGTTTTTTTTTTTTATGGTTCTTTTTTCTGAATTTCTCATTTAGTTTACATAACCTTCTAAAAGTCTAGTTACAAAGTCTGTTTTGCAACAAATGCAAGTAAAAATTGTACGTTAAATAAAAACGTACAAGTTCTTTAGTACTTCAATAGCATATGTTAATAAATATGTTCAATAATTCAAAGTAATACGCTTTTATGGTTCCTTATAACTCAAGTTCCCGTAACAGTTTACATTATTCTAAACAATTAGTATGAACTAGTTGGTTTACGTAACTTTCTGTAAGTGTAGTTAACAGGTTTTGCTGTTTATATGCACTGTAAAAAATAAGTAATTTTAACTAAAATTTTGTAAAAACGCTATGGGAAAAAGTTAATAGGTTAACAGTAATTTCCCATACTATATACAGGGGAAAAACTAAAAGATCTAACCAGACATTTCATATAATTTTACAGTAAAATGCTGTTATTTGTACAGTTTTTAGAAGTAAAAATGAACAAATCGATGTATAATTTACTGTCAAAAACTGTAAACTGATATTCCCAGAATTCCCTGCGTAACACTCCACATTTGAATGTATTTAATTTAAATCATGTTTTGAAATAGTTTTTATCAGTTATGTACATTTGGTCTTTGTTACATCTGTTGTTTAATGAAAGTTTATTGCATTAAGTATCGTCTGTTACCATGATGGTGTTTTGTGTTTGCATGAATGACTCTGTGCACCTTCTATATATTAGTATATACTTCTGCTTGTGGCGAAGCTACTTGTGATGAGCTTTGATTCTTCATGTGGCTTTCTCTTTTACCACCTGCATTATTATGGTGGTTGTCAGTATGTTAAAGGTACAAAACAGATTTTAATAGCAGTGTGCATTGTTGAATTTACTGGTTTACATTCAAATGTTCTTGTTTGTAAATCAATTTTATACTGTAAAATGTACCGTTTTGGGCCGTAAATGTGTTTACAGTTTTTCTGTATTTTTTGCAAAATTATTCTGGCAACCACAGCTGCCAAAATTATTTTGTAAAAACTACATAATTTTTTTTTACAGTGTGGGCATTTATTTCTTTATAGACTTTAAAGATTTTTATTATTCTAAACGGTCTTGGTTACTATATTAATGAATTTATGAATAAGTCCAGTAATTTTCAGTAGCGTGCATGGTTTAACATTTTTCATTCAGTTCACATGTTATGAATTATCTTAACTATATTTAGTAGCATTGTGTACTTAACCTTCCATAAAAAGTGGTTAATAAGTTACCATGTGGGCTATTTCTTTAATGACATAACCGATTTTGATCTTATATACTTCACGGTCTCTTTGATGTTATTGTCCTCAGGTGTCATTTTCACCAGGTGTGCCACTCGTCTAAAGCCGTCCACCAGACCTGCTCCAGTCAGCGCCGAACACGGCTGAATGAACCAGTCTCGGTCACTGCAACTCTTTATCAGGTTAAACTGCTCTGTGATCTCTGTTACCATTGCAGCTCCTACAATATCTTGCTTGTTGGCAAGAACCACCACCGGGAGTCCCCTGAGGTGGTCACTCTTTAAAGGGGTCATATGATGCTTTTTTAAAGATCATTATTTTGTGTATTTGGTGTAACAGAATATGTTGACATGCTTTAATGTTCAAAAAACACATTCTTTTTCAAATACTGTACATTATTGTAGGTCCTCTATGCCCCGCCTCTCTCAAACACTTCGTTTTCTACAAAGTCTGAGACTTTAGTCTTTGCAACTTCAGGGATCTTATCTATGCACAATCAGCTTGTAACACTCCAAAGAGAAAGGAAAACTTGAAATCGCATCATATGACCCCTTTAAGGTCTGTTCCAGCACGCTCTTGGCCTCGTCCAGACGCTTAATATCAGAAGAGTCCACGACGAACACAATTCCAGCTGTGTCTTGGTAAAAATTCCTCCAGTGCGCTCGCATCTTAATCTGCCCTCCAACGTCCCATATGGTCAGCGTGATTTTTGTCCCTGTTCTTCTTCGCTTCAATCATTTCAACATTGAATCCAACTGTAGGAACCGTGTGGAAGTCCTCATTGTACTTCAGTTTGTAAAGAAGTGTTGATTTTCCAGCTCCGTCGAGCCCTAGGAGGAGGATTTGTGCTTCAGGTTTGTGCCTGGATCCTGAATGGCCCATTGTATATGTCAGATGTTCACAAACACCAAAGCTTCTCACGGTGTTCTCTCAACAAATGTGAGTTTACTTAAGATGGTGTCTGCATTACTCTGTGATTTATTATATCTTGCTTATCTACATAGTGCTGTATGATTAATGGGTCAAAGTATCACAGGACACCTCCCAAATGATATGCTAAAAATGCCTGGAACGGAGTCCTGCTCTCTCTCGTGTCTTAAATATTGTACACATTTAAATAAAATATCCCATGATTAAATAAAATTAAAATCTCTTTCATGGATTCTCAAGTCACATGGCAAAAATCTCATCACATAAATCCAGTAGCCCCTCACTGCAGAACACAAGATCCAGGGGGCGTGGTTGGATCCACATCTAGGGGGTGGAGATTGGTAGGTTTAGGGGTGGAGATGGGTGGGTTTAGGGACCAGGGGGTGGAGACGGGTAGGTTTAGGTATATGTAAGGTGGGAGGAGTTGGATCTGGATCCACGCCCCCTGGATCTTGAGTTCTGCAGTGAGGACCATCTCCATAAATACAGAGTTCTGGCATGAAACTGTAGATGGCGCAGTCCGATAGGTCTAACTCAATCTGACCTAATGACATCATTATCACATGGCACAGCTGATTGGTTCTCTCCTGTATCGGTAGCCAGTGAGCTCGCTGCTCAACATTCAAATATATGACTAGGGCTTGCTTCAGAAACCCTCCACCTTCCCCAGCTCCACCTGTATAGATCTGCTACGAGGTGATTCATGTATGCTATACGGGGGTTATTTCATGTATGTTATATTTGCAGCAGCAATATTTCTTACATGCTCACAGCAGCATGTTGTGGATGTATTGGCAGTAGCAAGTCTCATACTTGGTCCCAAGTCCCAAGTCCCAAGTCCCAAGTCCCAAACTGCTCAGGCTGGTTTTAGAGGAGATCTAAAGAGACTTAGAGGCTGTTTCAGGTGGTCACACACCAGTTTAAACTGTAAGACCAGCAAAACCAGCGTAGGTTTTCCCCCGGCCTGCAATTGTTTGATCAAAAATACAGAATATTTTGAAATATAATTACAAATTAAAATAACACTTTTCTTTTTAATATATTTTAAAATGTAATTTATTCATGTGATGCAAAGTTGAATTTTTAGCATCATTACTCCAGTCTTCAGTGTCACCTTCAGAAATCATTCTAATATGCTGATTATATGTTGAAAACAGTGGTGCTGCTTAATATTTTTGTGTAAACCATTTTTTTTTAGCATAGAATAGAAATTTAAAAATTTCAAAATGCTGTCACTTTTGATCAATTTAATGTGTCCCTGTTGAATTCTTAAAATAAATTAATAATTAAATCAATCAATCATACTGAGCCCAAATTTGAGTGGCAGGATATACATGTATATTCAAAATCTTAAAAAAAAAAAAATTTTTTTTAGAGAGAACAAAGACAAGCAAGTTTTGACTTGTTAGGTTTATTTATCACTTTAATCTCCCACATACATTTCACACAGTGCAAGCATTTAAACCTTTGTGTAGATTGGGGCTGGTGCCATTTTTTTTCTGTAAAATAGGAGGAAAGTTGGAGGACTGTTTGCCAGTATTAATTCAACAGTCTTCACAAAATAATTACATACAGCAACATTCTACCTTCAATCTGGCCACTTTTGCATTCATATAACCATTAAAACCTTGGCTTAAATGAGCAGGAATGACTAGAATGAATAGGACATTACCTATTATGGAGTTTAATCAAAGTGTAACATTCTTAATCTAGCACAACCTTATTCCACCCTCATTTAAACTAACTAATGAGCAGCACCAGTGTAAATTGGCATTAATGCCTTGAACTGATATGAATGAATCATGCACATCCAAATTCAAGAGCTGGTTATGGTTTCATCATCTTCTTAATTGAAAAAAAAAAGAAACATGATATTTATGCATGTGCATCTTCAAGGCAATAAATGTCCTTCTACCATTTCTGCCAATTGCTGTTTCACAAATAATATTGCTCTGAATAAGGAAGGTCAGGATACATCTTTACAGTTTAAGGAATTGAAAAAGGAGTAATTACAAAATAATTTTCCATAAAGTGTCCATTTGGCACACACCAAAAAAAAAAAAAATTACAATAAATCTGGGAATGCACGTGTTTACACGTGTGTCTGTACAGTTTATTGTAATTGTGAGAGAAAAAAATGTTTGTCTCATATTACACCATCTAGCGTCTTGCAATATGCATTAATGGAAAGACAACGGAGGCTGTTTATTGATCGGTTGAGGCTGTTTATTAGTTGAGTCCAACTACTCTCCAGTTTTGCTCCCAGAGCTGCTCTTGAACTTCACCACCATGACAGTGATGTTGTCGGGACAGCCGCGGTAGAAAGACTGCAGCACAATGCTCTTGGCGCCAAAGTGCGGCTCATCCAAGCGTTCCCGCACAAAGCGTACGGCCTCCTCGTTGCTGAACGCGTCCCACAGGCCGTCGGAGGCTAGGATCATGAACTCCGGCTGGAGCTTGTCCAGGTCAAAGGTCAAGATATCTGGGTCTGGGATGACCACATTCAAGTTCTTGAGAGGGTAGTCACCGAGTGAGCGCGACATGGCGAGGATGCCTTGCACACGCCAAGAACCGTTGAAACTGATGAAGCCACCTGACCGATGAGATCACAGAGACATGTTATATTCACATAGTGCAGTCACAGTGAGGTGATCTGGAACTGTCAGAAAGCCAACACATCTTCAAAAATGATCACAGTCCTACAGCAGTCTTTATAACTGTTTTAAGCTAAAAAGTTGAATTATGTCCATTAACTAACCAATAGTTATTATTATTATTCACTCAAACTCACCTGCTCTCTTGATCCTCTTGCGCTCTTTCAGCTGGTAAGGCTTGTGATCATGTGACAAGGCCACAGCGTTGCCGTCCTTGTCGCAGAGAACGCCGCGAGAGTCTCCGACATTTGCCACAGTCAGTTCACGGTCTGACAACAAGGCTATCAAACACGTCGTGCCTGAAACCAAAAGAGGGATTCAGTATTGTTTACGGTTTCCAGTCAGCAAAAGCCCATGGATAAGATCAACCTCAGACACAGGCTCATCCCTGCTCACCTGCTTCATCATGGCTGGCAGAGAACTTCTCCACCATGTCCCGGTCCACAGCCAGAATGCGCTGCTCTAGGATGGCGGGATAGGACAGAGGGCTGTCTTTCTTTTCCCGCTCATAGGCCTGCAGCTGTTGTTTCAGAGCCTCGGGTAGGTGGGCCTTCACATAATCAGCGGCTGCCTGCGAGAAACAGCAAAAACAATGAGGAACTCGCTGTTCCTGTCACAAAAGAGCTCACTTCAGCATTTATAATTGATATTCATGAAGTTCAAAAACTTTAATAATGTGGAAAACTTTGACTTTTAACAATCCTTAAATAGAGTCTTTTAATGCCATCTAATGATTCTGGTTCTAAATATTACTGACAAGATTTATTGTTATATGAACTATTGTTACACTGTGACAATTTTTCTGCAAGTCATGGTAAAAAATATGTGACCCTGGAGCACAAAACCAGTCATAAGTGGCACGGGTATATTTGTAGCAATAGTCAACAATACATTTTATGGGTCAAAATTATAAATTTTTCTTTTATGCCAAAAATCATTAGGATATTAACCCCTTAACTGTCACCCCCCATTTTTAAAAAAAATACGCATTAAAGTGCACTATCCAAACTTAACTTAATTTTCAAAAAATTTAAATATCAAAAAGTTATAGAAGTTTAAATTTACTGTAAAGAAAATGCACTGTACGATTTGTATTATATTTGATATAAAATAAATATTTTACACAAGTTTTACTCTAAAATTGCTAAAAAAGTAAAGCCTTATCTCTAAATAAGTTATGTTCCAAATTTGAAGTTGATATGAAAAAAATTGAGGTTTCTGTGAGATTTTATTTAGGGCGTTATACCACAAACAGCCACCGGGCTTCATCAAAACTTCATTGAATTGTTTTTGATGCATTTTTCTGTCACAGATGTCTAGATTTCTCTGTCAATATTACTTCTATCACAAAATAAGGGTATGTAATACTACTCTAAGGTACTAATATGTATCTATTAGGGGTAAAAAAGGTACAAATATGTCCTTTTAAGGATACTGCTCTAGGGACAAGCTGTTGTACCCCAAAAGGTACAATTTTAAACCCCTTTTTTTCCTGTGTGTATGAGTCATTATTTTGTGCTCAGAAAAATACAAATTAATCACATTCTAATGTACGAAAAAATTAAGGCTGTGTTAAACATTTATCGTTTTGATACTTGAAACCACCTTTTTCGTCTTTGAAAAAGGGGTTTTTTCAAATGTGCATTTATATACACCCCCACATAACACAAAACAAGGGAATCATTGCAAAACAGAATGCAGCACAATAACCATCTTGTTTTCATAATTATTGGGAGCCAAAAACGTAACTGAAAATACGTTCACTGCCCAGCCCTAACCATAATGATCACGCATTTTACTTTTACGTTTTTAAAATTCCCATTAGTTCTTAAAGGGGTCATATGATGCGATTTCAATTTTTCCTTTCTCTTTGGAGTGTTACAAGCTCTTGGTGCATAAAGAAGATCTGTAAAGTTGCAAAAATTATTTGTCTCAAATCCAAAGAGATATTCTTTATAAAAGTTAAGAGTCAACCACGCCTACCTAAAACGGCTCGTTCTAACACACCCCACATGTCTACGTCACGATGTGAGAAGATTTGCATAACGCCGCCCAAACGTTCACGCAAAGAAAGAAGGCGTAACTTTTATTCTCGCTGTAGTATTGTTGCCGCCGCCGCCATGTCGTGAAGACTACTTTGTTTGGCCTTCCAAAAGAGGACGATATCCGCTTCGTCATGCCTAGAGCTGATCCGTGCTGGTCGCTGAGGAAATACATAAACTTGTTCCAGAACACTTCAACCCAAATATTCAGATGTGTGCAGCACATTTTATGGAGGACCGTTGCTGGCCAATCACAGCACACCTTGCTTTTTCAGACCGATGAGCTTTGTAAAAATCGACGTGTTTCAGAAAGGTGGGGCATAGAGGAGAAACAATAATGTACAGTATGTGGAAAATAATGTGTTTTTTGAACCTTAAACCGCATAAACACATTTCATTACACCAAATACACAAAATAATGTTCTTTTTAGCAGCATCATATGACCCCTTTAATGGTGATTCTCATTAGATTCTCAGTAATGCATTACTGCAACAGAGTGATTTTTATATTTAAGTCGGCATAAATTAAAGGCAGTACAACAAATACTACAATACACTATTTAAACTATATATTTCGTTCTCATTACATTAATGATAATAGGATTTTATTTGACTGATAATAGGATTTCCATTCTGGAAATGTGAATTTGAGGAAAATCTGCAAAATTGTCATGAAATTAATGTCACTTCATTTTCATGATAAAAAATATCATTCCTTTTTTGATTTGGGGTGAAATATGACACAGGAATGTTATTGATGATATTCACCCACATAGTAAAAACACCGAAATTCCATAAATAAATAAATACATAGATTGATTGACTGATAAAGGGTTTACTCAATTCAGTTAGTCCACCCAAAAATGAAAACTGTCATCATTTATTCACCCTCGTGTTGTTCCAAACACGGTTTTCTTTCTTCTGCAGAATTTTTTTTGTTGTCCATGCAGTAGAAGACTGGATAAAGAATGGTTTATCTTTTTCTGTGTCCAGCAGAAGCAAGTAAGTCATACAGGTATGGAGTGAGTAAATGATGGCAGAATGTTCATTTTTGGGTGAACTGTCCCTTTAAAAGAGGCCTAAGAGCTCTAGCCAGATGCAGTTTGCAGCAGAATACAGATGAAGGGACAGAAAGTCTCTAGAGAGCGAGAGCCCTTTCCAAACACTGCCAGATCACCAAAACATATCGAGTCAAAGAGCGTGATTTCATTCCCTAACTCTGCTTCCCCATTATCAGTCAGGATGGTTTGGATTCTTTTCAACGGCTCACACTACAGCCTTGTGCGTTTTCAACTTTAAGCCTTTGCCAGTCACTCAGCAGTGCCACGCTGTAAATACAATGATGAAACCAGAGAAGCAAACATAATACCTGTCTGCCAAGAGAACGCTGCAGTCTCTTTCGAAGCCACTTCCCGGACAACAGTGAGTTGCTGCTTTTCAGAAAAGACACGGCGGAGCCTCCTGATGAAGCCGATGCATTATTTACGCAGAAGCAGCAGAGCACTTACAGAATAAGCAGATATAGCTCCGGGTCACTTTGCACACGGCAGTGATTTTAAACCTGCAAATAGCACAGAGTCGAGCCTTTCAAAGCTTAGATCAGAGATTGGGGAGTTGCTGAATTCTGCGTCCAGAGTCCAGACTATAAGTACAAACTCATTATCTAAAAAAATTGTCCGCTTAACTTGAATGTAGTTAGCTACCATTTTAAAAGAGTAAAGTAGCTTCCTCAACACTACCAATATTAGCCGACAACAATTACGGTCATCGTTATATTGTGCGTCTGACAATAGCACGGTTTGCAAAGCTGTACTTCTCTGAAGGCGTCACAATCTGAATTGTTCAAAGTATGTTTATCATTGTGTCTCAGGGACAAAGACAGTGGGGTGGTGGTGACCCTCAGCGACCTCTATCCACTCAAGACCCTCCCACTGCAAACACACTACAGTCATGCATCCATGTGACTTCATTCACACACCAACACAATGAGGGCTTTATTACTGCTTATAAGCACCTCTGTTCAAACATATCGCTGTATTCCTGTGAATTCCTGTGAATGTGTATTCCTATCAGTTCATTCCCGTGAATCTCATGAAAAATCTAAATGAATTATATTTGGTAAAAAAAAAAAAAAGACCATTAAGATTTTTTGCATTGTGGCATAATTTTAATGACTATTCAGCATATTTTCCACCCCAATTCTCATTACCACAATGTTAAATATATATATATATATATTAGTGCTGTCAAACTATTAATTGCGATTAATCGCATTCAAAATAAAAGTTTTTGTTTACATAATACAGTATATGTGTGTATTGTGTATATTTATTATGTATATATAAATACACACATACACAGCATATATTTTGAAAATATTTACATGTATATATTTGTATTCAATTTATATCATATATCAATATATTTACTATATAAACGTAACATATTTTTCTTAAATGTATATATGCATGCGTGTGTATTTATATATACATAATAAATATACACAGTACACACACATATATTATGTAAACAAAAACTTTTATTTTGGATGCGATTAATCGCGATTAATCGTTTGACAGCACTAATATATATATATATATATATATATATATATATATAAAACATTTAAACAAATTAATAAAGGTATTGCAGTGTTTATTATTGCATTGCATTTGCATATTGTTATCAAAATGTCACAATGCAAAATAAATAAAGAAATAAACTTACAAAAGATACATCATCAAATTATTACTGTCCATAAATGTAGGGTCAGTACAATTCTTTTAAACAATTTATACTTTTATTCAGCAAGGATGCGAATAAAATTGATCAAAAGTGTCAGTAAATATTATATATAGTAAATGTATAATGTTATAAAAACATTTTATTTAAAATAAAAGCAACTGTTTTCAACATTGATAATAATAGTACATGTTTCTTGAGCAGCAAATCAGCATATTAGACTGATTTCTGAAGGTGACACTGAAGACTGGAGTAATGATGCTGAAAATTCAGCTTTTGTATCACAGGAATAAATTACACCTTAACATATATTAAAATAGAAAAGTTATTTTAAATAGTAATAATATTTCACAATATTACTGTTTTTACTGTATTTCTGTTCAAATAAATGCAGTCTTGGTGAGCACATGAGACTTCTTTCAAAAACATAAAAAAAATCTTACTGACCCCAAATTTTGAACATTTTTTGTAGGTTTCATTTTCTATGTTCAAAATACTCCCCCCATGATTTTGGGGTGAAATGTGCTGTGGTCATGTCTTAAAGGGATTCACCCATTCAGAGCATTTAGAATCAGATTTAAAGATGAAAGACTACATAGTATTTCATACATAAGCTCACAACACTCACACTTTCATACCAGCATCGCTAATTAAAAGCTCAATTTACCAGGCCTAATTCAAGATTACAATAACGAGAAAACCAGACCACCGGGGAATAGAGGAAGAGCAACGGATGCGTAAGACAAGCGTTGATTAGGCCAACTGTGCTAGTCATTGTTAGCGGGAGCTCTCTTCATTAGCAGACACCACAGGGCAAAAGATGATGAAACACAAGCCTGTCTGAACTCCAGACCTAGTTTTTACTTGTGACATATTAAATCATAAATAAATAATAAATAAAAATAAACATTTTTTTTTTTTCAGGATTCTTTTAAAAATAGAAAGGTCAAAAGATCAGCATTTAATTGAAATACAAATTTGTGTAATAATGTAAAAGTCTTTATTGTCACATTTGATCAATTTAATCATTGCTGAATTCAAATAATAATTAAATATTATAAAATATAATATATATTTATAATATA